TGTTATCGGTGCTGCATATATGCTGAAAAAAGTGAAAAAACAGCATAAATTCCCTAAAAGTGACCCGATCATGCTGATTTTCGAACTTGACCTGCGTATTATGAATATTCATCAGTTCTGCAAGTTTCAAGTCAAAAGGTAAAATGGTTTTCCACTTATCGTGTTATCGGTAAAAGTGCACGGCGACGGCGACGGCGACGACAGCGACGACGGCGACGGCGACGACAGACGCAGATGATGGCTATATGTACAGACACATCTGTGTCTGTACATAAAAATGACATGCAAATTATGGTGAAATTAACTGTTATTCAACAAAACTTAAAAGCTAAAAACCAGAAAAATATCTGCAGATAAATCTGCCAACTCTTATTCATTGCACCATCACACTCCCAAAGCCCATGAAATCTTTCTCAATTCTATCCCAAGTTGTGGGACATCAGGCTATTTTGGACGATCCCTATTAAACATATACTGTTTTCCTTATTAGATAAGTATGAAATAGTTATCTGCATTAACCAGTGAACAAGTCATACGTGTAAAATACATAAAATGTATGATTAACAGTAAGAATATTTCTTAGGATATTGCTTTAGCATCAAGCAGCTCAAAGCTTTACAAAGCCATTTAAACATTTAGAGAAAAGACATTTAACTGTTCATAAATATACAAGAATAAGAATGAGCTTTAATACTCAAAAATGTACTTCTAATATGGCACAAAAATAGCACAAACAACATAGTACATTCAAGAAGTGCACTGCAACATGAGTTTCAAAAACATGTAGGATTTTGCACTCAAAAGCAGCCTCAAAGTTTTTTCCTCTGAACATGTGATACAATTACCTACACTGAACAAGAACACATAATAGATTGAAACTGTGTGCAGTTTTGTCAATTTTTCTCATTTGCTATAAGTGCATCTTACAACCTGTTACCTCCAACACTCTATTATAACTCTTCATAACTGTACTAATCTTAAACAGGATACCTTGAAGTGTTTTGGCTAATTGTCAAAGTGCAAAACTTTGAGGATAACTTCTTTAACATTGCTCCTAAAAACAATAAGTAAATGGCACTTTGACAAGACATACATTTATGAATGAGTCTAATTTATTCTCAGGCATAAAACTAATGCTAATATGAGATTGACCTTAGAATGACCTTGATCCAGGTCAAGGCCAAGGCCAAGGCCATCCTACTAGGGCATTACGGCAGCTTCCATGCTCCAACCATGGGCCGTGGTCCTTGTGGTTTACGTTCATTTCTGTGTGGAAACTCTGAAATGGAGCAAACGATGAGTTTATTTATTTTTTTTTTTTTGATGGAAACTTTACTGCAAATTAAACAAAAATATGAATATTTTCTTGTCATAATTTGTTTGTTATCCATGAATAAATATTATGGTGGTTTACATGGATAAGAAACATCTGAAAAGGATAAAATAACAAATCATTTTTAACTGTTCATGGTATAAGAATAAGAATTAAATCATCATAAAATGCAGCTTATCTTTAAATGTGAATGGCCAAAGTAACACAAAAGATAGGAATTTCAAACAATACTATCAAAACAATGAGAAATGCAAAGACACCTTTTTTTACATAATATATTTCTGAAATTCAAGGCATTAAGATCATATGTGCTATGTCATATGCAGCCTTGTGTCATCCTGGACAGATTGGTCCAAGAATCATACCTATAATAGGGTTAAATATAACACTGATGAGCTTCTCTTTTAATATCTATCAACAAACCTATTCTCAACCTTATTTCTAAACTGTGTGATTTAGTTAACTGATTTACTCTTTCAAAAATGTCAGCATAAATCCGTTTATGTTGACCACATGCATTGTCCACTATTAGTATAATACTATTTTGGCTTTAGCTCACTACTTGATCCAAGAAGGCACTATCAAGAAAACTTCATGCTCACCCATATTAATTCTAAATACCAAAAGTCCAATTCTCACACATTTTACACAAAAAGGAGAAAAAAAACAAATTAGTCAATGTACTAACCAAACTTATCCAAACATCACCAAATATACCATTATTTCACCAAACATCATCAAATATGCCAATATTTCACCATACATGTCTCAGGGGCATTGCCTTTTTTTCTATAGGTCAAAAAATGCTGATTCCATATGTTTAGTATGTTAGTATAATGAGGAACAAGATAGGACAAATGCATGCAATAAGTGATCTATCAGTACAATAGTTGCTGCTAAAGTGAACCTCTGTTCATTCACGGCGGATGTTTATACCTTGCTATCAAAAAACTTTACAAATGTACTCAAATACCAAGACCCATCCCCCCCCCCCCCCCCCCCAAGATATAACCACTTTTGTTACTCATATTATTGCAAGATGTCTCCAATTTCAAAGCTAAATAAGGTGAATATGAAAACTTTTTTTTTTTTTTAGTGATGATTATATCTGGAAGATGTGTGCAGTGGTATGTACAAGTTTTTCCTACCCTGTAAGATAGAATACAGAAGTACCTTAAAAAGCAATGCACAAAAGGTTGGTGGATATGCATAATGTATACTCCTAAAAAGCTTGAGGCAGCAAAACTATTTCTCATTGATCTATCTTTCTTTCTCTCTCTCTCTCTCTCTCTCTCTGGAATGATGCATGAATAGGCAAATGCTTTGACATGCAAGCACAAAAATCACACAGATGGACATATACACACACACACACATACACACACACTTTCTAAATATACATAAATAGCAAACTAAATGCCCAAGTCCCATATGCATATCTGGAAAGCACAGCTGAATCATTCAACCTATAGGCAAGTCAGATTACAATATACACCATTGCAGTAAGTGTGACGTTAGACGTTATTTCAAGTAAATGTGTTGAAAAGAAGACAACTCGGGTGTTAATAAAAATACATAAAAACCTTGACTGTAAGATCAAAAGCTTTAATCTACTTCAATTCAAGATGCTATTTTTATTGCAGTGGAATTCTACTGATCTATCTAGGCTTAAAGCAGCTATATGTTTCTAGTCATAAAAAAATAAAGTTAAGACCAACTCAGCTGCCAGTCTATAGTTCCCATGTGAAACTACCACCTCTAATCCCAGGCAAAGCAGGTTATAAATAAATAAATAACTAATCATGAATCTAATATCAATAATATTAAAATACCAGCTTTATATCACCATCCAGTTGAAATGCTATAAATATATATTTACAAATTTATGAAAAGCCTCATAACTACTATATTTTAAAATTAATCCAGGTTAATCTAATTAAAAAAGCTAAAATACACCGATGTGAACAAAAATAAGTTTTGAAAAAAATCAGCCTGCTTTATTTTACTGAATCTTAGGTGAAATCATGTTATGTTGTATTTCAAAAAGTAGCTGTTAGTAAAAGTAACTCCAATTGACAGTACCGAAATGAGAAATAATGCTTGAAGTTAAAAGTGAAAAAACAAGACCAGAATACAAATCATGTGAGAAAAGGTCACCAAACAAAATCCTCTCTACTCTATGTCACTCTCAACTGAAAATCTCATCATATTCTTACCAACTTTTTTGAAAAAAGGATGGTGAGAAGGAGGACAAAACAATGCCTCATCTGAATCTGAAACAAATGCACAATGAACAAAGCATGTGATACATTGCACATTTTTGACAAAAAACATCCTACCACATTTAGAAACATAAATGAAGGTGTCATATAAGAGTCCAGATATCATATTAATAAAAGCTGCATTTCTAGACCAGTTGGGACAGTTTAACTTGGAACAACACATCTCATTTCTCACCGTGTTTACCAAGTTATGGCCGCATTCACATAGAGTTGAGTCATGGCTCTACAAAGCCACGACCTAAATATGGCGGATGTACATGAAAGGAAAGCCGCCTACTATTTTAATAGTCTCTCCGCCTCTCACACGCCTCCCCACGTGTTGTCCCAATGGAGCCGAGATTTAATGACTGTACCCCCGCAGGGACGACGCATGGGGAGGCATGTGACAGGCAGGGAGACTATTAAAAGATTAGGCAGTTTTCCTTTCATGTACATCTGCCATATATAGGTCGTGGCTTTGTAGAGCCATGGCTCAACTCTATGTGAATGTGGCCTATGTCTCACAAATACCATGATGGAATCCTTCCATGACCATATGTTCACAAAATTTGGGCAACTGGTCCAAAGAGCATTTCATCATCAAGAGTCATACATGTATATATATAGAGCATGTACTTATCAACGAACTCTTGGAGCTTCAGCAAAACCCCAAAAAGGATACCAGGGCTACATCTATCTACTGTTACAGTAAGTTTAGTATTTTGGAAAACACTAGACCAAACAACAGCAATTTGTGTTTGAACAGTCATGTCCTTCACTGCCCATCGTCTAGTATGATACTAACCTGTTTTAAAAGGAATGAATACAGCAGGAGTGCTGACACCAGCTGATGGAAGACTGGGTTCCCTTCCCTGAAGATTGACAAATGACATATTTTAGCAGTAGAATTATAATTTTATCACACCTATCTTCCCATAATGCAACAGCGATTGTTGATGTAGCAATCATCAATGTCTTCCCATAATACAACAGCAATTGTTGATGTAACAATCATCAATATCTTCCCATAATACAACAGCAATTGTTGATGTAACAATCATCAATATCTTCCCATAATACAACAGCAATTGTTGATGTAACAATCATCAATGTCTTCCCATAA